GAATAGTGGGATTGACCGTCACATTATAACGCCCCCACGGCTGAAAGTGCGAGCGTGTTTGGTGGGACGGGGATTCGAACCTGCGACCCGCAGATTGTGAGTCGAGCGCCCTAACCACCTGGCCATGCCGGGTCTATCTGTGCTGTACACTATGAACTATTTGTGCTATGCCCATCACGGGTATCTAAACCCAATTTTTAGCTTCTCAAGCTTGCAGACTTATCGCCGAGCCTCTGGAGGGCACAAACAAGAGAGAGAAAACAGATACTTCTATATATTTTGAAGTAGTAAAACAAATTAATGGGACGCAATTTAACAAACACCATGATGTGTTTGTTTGTTTGCAGTTAAGCACAAAGCTACACAATGGGCCATATGTGCTCTGCCCACCACGGGTATCGAAACCCGGTTTCTAGAGTTGTAAGTCCGCAGACATACAGCTGTGCCACTGGGGGCGGGGAACCATGGTGTGTTTGTTTGGTTGTAGTTAAGCACAAAGCTACACAATGGGCAATATGTGCTCTGCCCACCACGGGTATCGAAACCCGGTTTCTAGGTGGTTAGGGCGCTCGACTCGCAATCTGAGGGTCGCGGGTTCGAATCCCCGTCACACCAAACATGTTCGCCCTTTCATCCGCGGGGGCGTTATAACGTGACGGTCAATACCACTATTCGTTGGTAAAAGAGTAGCCCAAGATTTGGCGGTGGGTGGTGGTGAAGACTAGCTACCTTCCTCTAATCTTACACTGCTAAATTAGGGACGGCTAGCGCAGATAGCCCTCGTGTAGCTTTGCGCGAAATTCAAAACAAACAAACACAGCACAGATAGCCCATTGTATAGCTGAGCGCTTGACAACAAACAAAAGAAACGTTAAATAAATTACTGTAGAATAGAAAAGCTGGATAGAGAAAACAACAACTGAAATGTTTTTTTTGTGTAAGGTTAATACGAATAATTAATTAAATTGTGCACAATAAACATGCATAAAGTACGCAAGAGAGGTTAATTACATCAACATAAAAATATGTTGTGATTAGCGTCAAACTAAACTATATCTAACCTGTAGAGTAATTAAAATCCGCTAAAAACACTACGTTGATTTTAAACTATAACGTATTGCTTATTGCACTATAATTAGAGTTTATTTTAGATGAAATAAAGCTCGTGAGTTGACTTAAATTAAACGCGCGTGTACAGGGGAACGTGGGATGACTTGATTGTATTACGGTATAAATATATAATGGATACATCTATATTATTTAAAGGTTTCGATGTTTTATCCTTCTAATATATTGTGCAGAAAAACAACAACTTAATTTGGTGAAAAAATTGATGTTATCTCAGATAAAAATAAACAGGAATTTGACAGGATTGTTATTAATGTAAGAAACTTATTTCCCAGTTCAGTTTCACACCTGTTTTCCCGCTCAAAACCTAAATCTGGCTGAGCTGATACAAGATGACGAATGTCTTATTGATTTCAACTGGTTGATAGAAACTTGCTGTAGTTATGTACCTAGAACACAGTAATCCGAGTTTCGACTCCAGTCCAGTTGTTGCGCGGATCAAAGAGATATTGCTGAAACAAATAGAAGAGTTATGACAGGGATTTATGGAGGATCATGACAGAGAGAGAGAGAGAAGAAAATTGAGCACGGCTTCGAAATAGATTTCAAAGAGTTTTTGAAAGAATGGAATTTTTCGTCATGGTGAAAGTTTCAGTACTTGGTTATATCTCAGCAAATATTTCAAATCCTCCGTAAACGTAGAATTACCTCGTCATCAGATGGCGACTAAGAATTGATTATGGAACACTTTTTTTTCTAGTATATCTAGAGGAGATAGGAATATTGTTTGTTTGTTTATAATTAAACACAAAGCTACACAATGGGCCAACTGTGCTCTGGTCACCACGGGTATCGAAACCCGGATTCTAGCTTTGTAAGTCTGCAGACATACCGCTGTGCCACTAAGGGGGGAGGGAGCAAGAGACGGGAGTAAGTCAGAATAAACAAACTAATTTGAACCATTAAAGAGAGCGTAATTAAATATTAAGAAAAACAGAAGAACTTAGGAACAAAAACATGGAGGTCGAATGTAATAAATTAAAAAAGCAAGATACTATCAGATTCTGGAATATACTGAAATATCCCAGCGAGAGTTGTGTATATATATATATATATAAGTTTCCCCATGGGTCCGCCTTAAATTTACGGACTTACAACACTAAAATCCGGGATTCGATTCCACGTGGTGGACAGAGCACATATAGCCTAAACAAAAGCAAACACAAAAGTATATAAAAATGAAAAATAATGCTTAATCAATAACAACAGGATTATATCTTAAAATGTTTAAGTTGCTTGTATTGTCTACAAACTTACAACATTGAGTTTTTATTGATTAATACATTATTTTGTCAAAAATAAAGAGAGAGTGTGATAAATCGATAAGTTTTTAATTAAGTACAAAGCTACACAATGGGCTATCTATGCCCTGCCCACCACGGGTATCGAAACCCGGATTATAGCGTTGTAAGTCTGCAGACATACCGCTGTGCCACTGGGGGGCTATCGGGTATAAATGAACACTGTTTAGAAAGTCTGCAACATTTGAATAATGAGCACTGACGATTTATAAAGTTTTTATTTTATTTTTCAGATTCCATAGTAGCTTCAGTCACAAATGTAAAAATGTTGAACGTTTAATAGAAAAAAAATCCTAATTGTTACTAGATAAAGAATAATTTTACTTCCTCGAGTACCACCTTTCATGTGGGAGGGGTATAAGGTTATGATAGTTAGAATACGTACAATTCTAAGTGTTTTTCTCGTCTAGTTTGGATACCTTGTGAACCTTTATTACTGAAGCAATACTTTAAATCATAGCTGGCTTAAAACTATTTCACTGAGATACCTCAGTATGTAATACTTATAAAAACATTTAAGTATGCAGCTTGTATTATAAGTTTAACAAACTCTGTATACACTCTTTAATTTAATTATAGCAGAATTTTAAAATATATTTTGTTAATACAGCTAATTTTCATAAGTCACCAGATGGCGACTAAGAATTAATTATGGAACACTTTACTTCTGAGAGAACGTTCTTCTTTTGAATATTCTGTCTTTACCTTTTATCTTCTTTCAATATAGATTTGTTTTAGTTACATTGTAATTTCTTTCTTTTATATTTACTGTTCAGGATTGACTTTAATGAGAAACTAAATCTCAATTATTTATGACTTACTTAATCTGTACTAATTAGGTATTATTATTATTATACAAGAACTGGAGAATAAAACTGCCTTTTTTGTATATTTCTCTTTAGAGATTATCAACGTAAATTGTTTCGCGTATAGCTGTATCACGTATTTTATTAAGTATCTGACGTGTGATTTTTTTTCTCGATAAACCGAACGGTATATACCAATATGCATTTCAAATTTTACTGGTTACTCGAGATGTCTTTGAAAATATCGGATCAATATTTACGGAGTTTTTTTTTTCCAGGAAAACAATCAGAGAAAACAAAAATGCTCACCCGAAAACTTTATATGATTATTGTTGCCTGTCTTCTGATGATCACTACTGATTGTTTACCTACCGATCCCTTCTCGAGGCAAGAAAGAGGATTTCGCAACACTGCTCTGTCAACTGCAAGAGGGTTTGGTAAAAGGACGTTCGAGGAGTTCGCCAATGAAGGTGGTTGTTTGAAGTACCTGCTGTCAAAACCTTCATTCACTACAGAAAATACACATTTTAGATATTTATAGAATGAAGGTGTTAGACAATGAAGGTGGTGACAGCAGGTACTTCAAATAAAAACCTTCATTCACTACAGGAAAATACACATTTTAGATATTTATAGAATGAAGGTGTTGGCAGCAGGTAATTCAAACCAGTAGTGAATGACGGTTT